GGCAGAGGAAGAAGCAGACTCCCCACTGAGCGGGGAGCCCATCCTGGGGCTGCAGCCGCTTAACCGACTGAGCCACCCAGGCGCCCCGAGATTTTGCATTTCTAACTAGCTCTAGGTCACGCCCATGCTGCTCGTCCATGGAACACATTGGAGTGGAGCAGTGGTTCCCATGTTGAAAACCATGTAAGGAGGTTTTACCAGTCCTGATACTGGCGGGGTCGTCCTCACACCGATTAAAGCAGTATTTGGGTGTGGGACCGGGTGGTTTCGCTGTGCCGTCCGGTTTGCGAACCCGCATTCCCCCGCCAAGCGGGGCCAGATGGTGCTGTGGACCGCCGGCCTGTTAGAGGTGCAGGTTCTCAGCTACGCCAGTCCTGTTAAATCATCGCTGGGAATGAAGTCCACATCCTTTGTATTAATGAGCTCTTTGGAGGATTCTTAATTCATGCCCATGTCTGGAAACCACAGATCTAGGTAATGAGGAAGAAATCGCTGAATCACCTCTCTCTGGTCCTTGGGAATTTTGAAGTGTGGTCTCAGGTCCCTGGATTTGTCACAGAGATGGGGATGAGCGCACCGTGATGCTGTAGGGAGGCTTCTTGCTGTCGAGGTTGTTAACGTTTGAGGACATATCAGATTTCCGCTGACCCAGAAGAGAGAAGGGCGCAGGATAGGGCAGGGGCGTAGCCCCACCTCTCTGGATTTGCTTCTCGGGTGTCCCCCTGAGAAACAGACATCCCCATCGTGTGGACTTTCAGAATATTCCATCTGGAGGCCATGTCTCCCTTAGAGGGTAAGCAAACACAGCCACAAATGGCTTCTTCTGAAACTCCTGGTCAGGAGTGTTTCCTGGGTCATCATCCACAGTGTTGCATTTTGGCGAAATCCCAGTCTCTGACACAGAAGGGATGTGTCATGTTTTAGAGAGATACGTTTTCAGAAAATGGATCACTTTAGGAAAGTGAGCTTAATGTGAGTGAAGGTAAAAGCCTGACTCCACTAGAATGTTGTCCTTGTTATGTCTTGTGAGGGGGTCTATCTCCATGTTAAGCTGCTGCAGCGAGTCTTACCATGCTGTTGCCATAGATCCTGTTGCTCCTCACGCTGTTGGGAGCTTTTTCATCATGAAGCACTTTCAAAGCTGTGACTCCCTGTTGCCCCTCACTGTGGGCTGGACAGGATGGTCTTTGCAGCACAGAAGGGGACCAGGCCCTGTGGGGTTCAAGGTGTCTGTCTGAGTCACGGCTGAACCCATAGTGGAGTGCAGAGGTTCCAGGTGCAAAGCCAGGTTTTTCCCACTTGCGATGTTTGCATTCGGGCATAGAGAATGGGGTGTGTGATCTCTCAATTGTGGATAATTTAATAATGAGTTTTATATTAGAAAACAGCACTTAGATAATTGAATGCACAGGTTGTGCTCCCTCTGTCACTTGTGAGCCCAAATATTAATCTTTTCCTTTACTCATTTTTAACTGTCTATGTGTATGTATGATCTCCATCTACATACACGCCTACCCATCTTTTCACTCACCCATCTTTCTTTCTCTCTTCCTTTCTCCCTCCTTCTGTCTTTCCTTCCCTGTATCTATCCACCCACTCATCCATCCATCCATCCACTTATCCATCAACCTATCCATCCATCCATCCATCCATCCATCCATCCACCTACCTATTCATCCATCCATCCACCCATCCATCCATCTCTCTGTTTGTCCGTCCATCCATCCATCCATCCATCCATCCATCCATCCACCTACCCACCCATCCCATCCATCCATCCATTTATCTATTCACCCATACTTCCATCCATCCATCCACCCATGCACCCACATTCCCATCCATTCATCCACCCACCACATGCCCATCCATCCATCCATTCACTCATCCATCCAACCATCTATCTATCCATCTACTCATTCACCATCCATCCGTCCATCCACCCACCCATCCGTCCATGCACTCATCTAACCATCTGTTCATCCATCCACTTATCCAAGCATCTGCCCAGCCCCTCATCCAGCGATCTATTTACCTATTTTTTTACCTATCTTATAAAAGCTCAAGGATACTGTACCTCATTGTCCTCCTGGGGTGGCCATAGTCCCCACTGCAGGGCAGAGCACTTAGTAGGTGTGTGAATATTTGTTTCCTTTGCTTCACATTCTAGGAGAATCGGGACTGTCTTGCTGAGGAAGTCATGGGGGATTGTGCCAGTCCAAGTTGTGGTGGGGGTGGGAATGCTAACAAGTATTGGCTTCATGGTTCATTTTATAAATTACTTTTTTATTATTGTAAAATAATAAAGTCATTGTACAGCCTTGTAAAAATACATAAAAAAGCCATAATGAAGAGAGCAAAATTTGTCTCTTTGTGAGACTAGCTGCTCTGGTGGCAGTCCCCGAGGGCGCGCCCGGGGGTGGGCACCATCCAGCATAGGACGCATGCATTTGGGCCTCACAGGGGAGGAGACAGGTCCAGAGGGTTTTGGGGACCTGCTCAGGTCATCCAGCCTTCCAGGAGCAGAGCTGGGTTTTGCTGCCGGCGGTCCCTTTTCTCCAGGAGGCGCTGCTCACCCACACGTTTGGTTTCCGAGGTCTTTCTCCGGCACTTGGATGCTCCCAGGAACACCCAGGGGCCCGGGGTGCGCACACTTCAGCCTGCAGCGCACGGAGCCCCCACCCCTCTCCTTGTCCGTAGATCTGGACAGATTGGAAACCAGTAGCCAGTGTCCTTGTGCTGTGCTTCCAGGTCCCCCCACTTCTCACCCCTGCAGACCCTCCTGCTGGTGCCTTTCGAAGCTCGGCCGCTTGTTTGCTGGAGCCAAAATGTGACTGGGCCATGTCTGGGCGAGAGCGTTATTATGTGTTCGAGACTGTCTGAAAAGACGAGAGCCGTTTCTACTCCACTGGGCAGTCAAGCTGAGAGAGACTGGGACCATCTTGAGGTTATACTCGTTGAGGTTCCAGTATATTTATCAAAACTGAAGTAATTTCAAAATGTAAACACTGAGGAATGTTTTTGGAGGATTGTGGTGCAGGTGAGCTCAGGCCCCAAGCTCGTTAGAGGCATGGGCACATGGTCATCAATCACACAGTGCGAGCCCCTGACGGCCACGCGTTTGCAGTTGATGGATGAGTATCTTCTTGGGATGGTTCCATCAGCCCCATGTGGGGTCTCATTGGACGTCCCCTTCCTGAAGGGTGTGTAAGCTGGGGGGGGGGGCTCTCCCACCCTCACCAGGGTGGGTCCCGGTCAGGTTTGAACGTGGCAAGTCTGCAGTGCATCCTTTGGGCAGGGCTGTTTGAGAAAGGGACCGCTTGTCCTGGGTGCCGTCTGAGGGCTGGAGGTCCCCCTCAAGTACATAAGATACCCTACCATTAACGGGGTGCCTAGTTTTCTACTCAGCGGCTCTTACGTGCCCAGCACCATCCCAGGGTTTGGCTCTGCCAAAGGGGTCTGTAATCTGGAGTCCGAGGTATGACTCCAGCTGGGTTCCCGTTGCAATGGCCATGGGTGGACAGCCAAATAAGAAAGAAGAATCCTAATCATTTTGAGGGTTGACATTGCCCCAGATGAGCATCAGGCCTAAATTGACCTTATACATGAGGGGCCGGCTTCCTCAAGTTGCTGTAAGAAATTTGATGTGAAGCGTAAACGCTGGTGGCTCCTGAGGACCCAGCCTTCCACGCCCTTCACCTGCCCCCAAAGGACCCGAGCCCTCGCCAATGCCGCCAGAAGCCCCAACAGCTCCCTCTCCCCGCTCTAGCGGGTGGGGGTCTCTCCCCAAGTTTGCATCTGTCTGCACGTCTGCCCCATTTCCACATCTCTGCCCCCATGTGGAGCTCCTGCCCTGCTCCACGCCGTCTCAACCCCTGACACCCCTGCACCTCACTGTGACACATCCAGGTGCAGGGTAAGTCCCCCGGTGAGTTTAAAGAGCCCTCAGAACAGTGCTCCTTTATGTGTAAAGAAGCCTGGGGATTAGGGCTAGATGGGGGTGGCGAGCTGAATTCATGATGCGGTTGTCCTTCCTGGGGACAGCCGGGGACGCGACCGGGGTGAGGTGAGAAGGGAATTCAGCCCCGGGTCAGATGCCCCGGTTCTTTTATTCTCAAAACGCGCTTGAAGTCAGAACGACTCATCATCAACCAGTAGTGTTTCTGGGTCCTGGGGACATGCACGTTGTCATATTGCCCTTGACACTCTTCTAGAAGGTAAAAGCCTCTCCAGTGAAGCACATCAGGGCAGTGCGCCTTGCTCGGCAGTGGCTATGATGGGCACTCGGGCTGACCGAGCGGGAGAGAAGGTGGTTTTAACCGAGTACTGCCCTCCCCGTCACAGCCAGCAACAGACTGGTCTGGAGTCGGCTGCCCAGGGCGGTGGGGGACCCTTCCTAACATTGTCCACATGGGGGTGGGCTCCATGGTTCTGTCCCCCGGGCTTCTGCCCCAGCCCTGCTGCCGGTCATTTATCGTGCTGACCCCGTTCAGGTCTCTGCCTGCTCAGACCCAGACCTCCATGGGGCACAGACTCCACGCCTCCCCTACCCTTGTGTGCCTGCAGCCTGAGCCGGGCGTCCTCCAAGATGCCCATAAGCGTTGTGAGTTTGAGATGCAGAAAGGCAGGCCTCTGCCTTTCGGTCCTTTAACTGTAGCCCCAGTGGGTCGCTGCTCCCCACGGTAAGCATCTGGATGGTGCCGTGGGATTCTGTGTCCTGAGAGCGAGGGCAGCTTCTCAGACCCGCTGCCCACAAAGCGATAATGTGGAAACTCTGCCTCTGCCCCCATTTTGATTTGCATGGGACCCCGAGCATCACCACCATTGTCTCCCTTGAGACCGTGCTAACCGCGGGGATACCGGGGCTAACGGGTGGGAGCTGCGAATACCCTGGGGTCGGTTCTTCAAGCTCACTCTCAGACTTGGCACTTGGTTCGTGAGCCGTATGCCTTGGCCGTCTCCCCGGTGCGGGTTCTGAACTACGTTGTGTTTGGGTCCTGCAGAGACCCCACTGACCTTAGCTGCTCAGCTGGACGAGCCCGTGGAGGTGATCAAAGCTCTCAGAAACGGCGGGGCTCACCTGGACTTCCGCGCCAGAGATGGGATGACTGCCCTGCACAAAGCCGCCCGAGCCAGGAACCAAGTGGCCCTGAAGGTACATTCCGGAGCCCGTCTCCCCCGCGGGCACCTCTTCCCTATCTGATCCCCGGCTTCCACACCGGTTCCCTGTCCCCATCCCATGACGACCACCCGAGCTGACCCCGAATTGTGTTCCCACGTGGGTTTGGACATCTAGTCGGGGCCCCAGACCCTCTCTTCTTGGGAATTTTAGAATTTGGTGTTTATAAAAGGTCATCTGTCCCTCTCGTTTGGCCAGAGGCTTGTGATTTCTGCCAGGAAGGGTAGCACTGAAAGCCACCCCCTCATGCCCCCTGGGAGGAGGCTGCAAACCCAGCCCACAGGCCCTGAGCCAGCCTTGTTGCTGTTGCCAACCCCCTCTCCGGTCTCTGGAAGCCCACCCGGGGGGGGGTGCTTTCACCCCTCACCCTCCCCACGGCCCTCTGCATGCTTTATCTGCCCTGGCCCCAAGTGTGGGGTCCCCCAAGAGCCCTGGCTGGGAGGGAGGGGGACCCGCTGTTGGGGGCTGACCCCCAACACGATGCTTGTCTTGGAAGTCACGGATTTCTCAAGTTCACATCAGCTGTACCTCGTCCGCTGCCTTAGTCCGAAATCCACGCTGGGATGGTTTTATGCTGTAGGTTGAATAGTACAGCTTTTCCCTTTCTGCAAAAGCTGCCTGCACTTCGTTGCTCTCAGCCAGTACAGGGTTTTGGGTGGGGGGGTCAGCAGGGCTCAGCAGGTCCCTGCGTGCCCCCCACGCGTGTCTGTCTGCAGAGCGTCTCCTGACGTCCCGGATGCACGTGCATCCTGTCACCTGGGCTCCACCTGCTACTTCAGGGCCGGGAACCTCACCACCTGAAGCTGGCCCCTGCTTCACTCTGGGAGGCCCGGGAAACGTGCGGACCCGTGGGCCTGCTCAGCCTCGGCCGGCGGGAGAGTGACCCCCATGCTTCGTTCTTGATTCACTTCCTGCAGAAGGGGTCATGAGACCCGTGTTTGGTGTTGTTTTCTAGACCCTTCTGGAGCTGGGAGCATCGCCTGATTACAAAGACAGCTACGGGCTCACGCCGCTGTACCACACCGCGATCGTCGGGGGGGATCCCTACTGCTGTGAACTGTTGCTCCACGAACACGCCACCGTGTGCTGCAGGGACGAGAACGGCTGGCACGAGGTCCACCAGGTGCGCACGCTGCACCCTTAACACTCCTGCCCTCAGCCTCTCACCCGGCGCCCACAGCTGCCCTCCCAGCGTTCCGTTCCGTTTGGAGCAGTCGCCGGCATTTAAAAACAGGGATATTTACCTAGAAACACACGTTTCTGACCTCTGTAGAGAAATCGGAAAGTTAGGCAGGCCTCTTGCATTTCTGTAGGGCAGTGATCATCTGGAGCTGTGGAGTGAACACGCCCTTCATAGGCGCTGGGAGCTCTCCGTGCATCTAGCGTCTCGGGGACCCCAATAGAGCTTGGCGCCAGGTGCTTTCTGCGCACAGGTGACCCGGTGCACTGCCCAATTTCTAATACGGGTGACCCGGCGTGACGCCTGATTTCTGATACGGGTGGTCCGGCGCGATGCCCGATTGCTGATAGGGGTGACCTGGCGCGACACCCGATTGCTGATACGGGTGAGCCGACGCGATGCCCAATTGCTGATACGGGTGACCCCGCACGCTGCCCGATTGCTGATACGGGTGACCCGGCGCGATGCCCGATTGCTGATACGGGTGACCCGGCGTGATGCCCGATTGCTGATACGGGTGAGCCGATGTGATGCCCGATTGCTGATACGGGTGACCCGGCACGCTGCCCGATTTCTGATACGGGTGAGCCGGTGTGCTGCCTGATTTCTGATATGGGTGCCCCGGTGTGATGCCCAATTTCCATGCATAGGACCCAGGTTTCCCTGATCCCACCTGGCACCCCTGGGGCTGGGGGTGTGTCAGCTGCAGTCTTGTAAAGAAACAGCATCCACCTGATGGCTCAGATGAAGAGTCGTTAGTGCATCCAGAGCAGGGGAGGAAGTTGTGGTCCGAGAAGCAGGGACAGCTGAGGTGGGAGGGTGGCCGCAGGCAGGAAGTGCCCTGGCTTCTCTCTTATCCTGCCCTCCTATTGGCTGAGCCGTGTGTGAGCCAGCCAATCAGGGAGCCCAGTGGTGCAGGTGTCCGGGTCAGGGTCTCCGGGCAGAGGAGGGTGGACAGTGGGTCTGGGGGAGCAGGGCCCAGGAAGGCAAGGGGAAAGGCCTGGAATGGGGGCGGTGTCTCTGAACTGTTCTCCGGATGGGCAGTGCCACCTGTCCATTTCCCTCAGCCAGTGTGACCTTACACACTTGCCTGGTCTGGGTGGGGTCATGCCCCCCACCCACTGTGGTCAGAGGGCCGAGCAGTGCTGAGGGGTACCAGGTGGGCTGTGGGGTGCAGGCAGGTCCACCCCGCTTGGCCTTTTGCATGCTGGGTCAGCCCTGACTCGTCAGCAGCCTGGGGAGGCGTCCAGTTCCATCCCACGGTGTGAGCTGGGGCCCCCCAAAGCTGCTCCTGGCCACCTCCAGCCCACACCCAGGGAGGGACCCTCAGGGGAGTGAGTAGCGATGAGTGCCCTGGGGTCTGCATTTGTTCACCCATAAAGTGGGTGTCAGCGGGCCCGTGGCGCCCTCGGGCTGTGGGAAGGATCTAATGTAAGTGCAGTGCTGAGCCTCCTCTCTGCTCATCCTGCCCGTTCTCACTCTGGCCCCCATGGCTGCACGTCTGAGTGCTTTCGGGTCATTCCAGAGTCATTTCCTGGCCTGTCCCAAACCCCGGTTTGAAATGTAGTTTTAATACCATGCAGGTACAGTGAGGCCAACCGATCGGGAGTTGGCTGCCATTGGAAAGAGGGTGTGTTACTCACAGATCCTGGGAGGAGGGGCAGATGGGGCAGGGGGGCCACATGGGAAGCACCGGGCTGGGTCAGGAGGCAGCAGGAGTGGGGGGAAATGGGGCCAAGAGTCTTCACTGTGACTTTTGTAGGATGGAACAGGCCGAGGCATGGCTGGTCTGGATAACGTTGGGCTCAGGGGCACTGGGGCTGTCCCTGGCTGTCTGGGCTGACCAGGGCAGGTGGGTCGTGGCCCTGAGGGCGAGAGCCCAGTAAGGCAGGTGGGGGTGATGGCTCTGTGTGGGCTGGTTTGTGTCTGAGAGCCGCCCTCTGGGCCAGTCCTGTGCAGTCAGAATTGACTTGCCTGGGGAGGGGCAGACCCCCCCAGTGTCGGCAAGGCCCCACATGCCAAGGCGTCAGAAATACAGAAGATGGGAACGTGGAGTTGCTAGAGCTTGAACCCTGCAGCAGGGCCCCAGCTTTGGAGAGTTCTCCGGGCCGGGTTCGCCCTCCACCAGCCGGAGGCCTCCTACCAGCGTCCCTTTCCCCTCTGGTGCATTCGACAGTCTGGCCTCTGGTCACCCTGAGATGAAGAAGCATCAATGTGTTGGGGTGGGCGGGGGGCGATCCTGGTGGTCACTTCCTGCAGTGTGGGCTCCAGCCGTGATTTCTGGTCCCCGCGTGTGCTGGGTTCCATCCCTGAGACCCCGAGCGTGGGTTCCGAGCCTGCGGGCACTGAAGCCACCAGACCTCTTGGTCCCAGGACCCCAGCCCCTGGCGCTGAGTTTGAGCTTGGAGGGGGCGCTCCCAGGCCTGAGCATCCCGCTTCCCGTGGCGCCCATCAGGATGGTGTCATGTCCCCCAGGTGGTGGGTTTCTTTTCCACGATGTCCTGGGAGGCCAGTTCCCTCCCTACTAGAGGTTCTCGATTTTCCGGGTGAAGTCCCTGCCTCCCGAGCCCCGCTGTCTCATCTGCCGTGGCTGAGATGGCTGTGAGGTGGTGGAGGCAGGCGCAAAGCAGAGATCAGCAGACCGGCCGTCCTCCTCCGAGATTCTCAGCACTCAGTCGGCTCCCACGCCGTCCTGATCTGCTTTATCGGCTCCACCTTTCACACCCTGGAGCAACCCCAGCGGACACCTGCTGGCCTCCATGACTCAGACAAGGTAACCGGCCCGGAGAGGGGGAGTAACCTGCCCAAGGCCACAGCTGAGTCCACTCCCGGCCCCTCTCAGCACCGCCTCCAGGCTTGCAGACGGAAGCCGCCCCTGCCGTGACACCCGGCGGTGGCAGGAGGAAACAGAGGAGGCGGGTTTTGCACAGAGCTAGCAGGAGAAGCACCTTGGAGTTCTGGGGTCCGCAGTTCTGCATTTGACATCTGTCCCTCTGCCTCGCGCCCTGGAGTGGGGGCGGCTCCTTCCCAGCCGCCTGGCTCCACGCCCTTGGACGGATCCTGCTCGCCCACAGCCAGGCCTGCTCACGGGTCCTGCGGTGGTTCTGCTTCCCACCAAGGCCAAGGCCAGGTGCTGAACTGTCAAGCGAGGCCCTTCCGATCCCGCACCTGCCGCGCAGCGCCTGGGGACGCCCGCCCCCTGCAGGCCGACAGTGGAAGCGCGCGTTTTTGTATGTGGCTTGTCTGCAAACTCTTGAGTTCAGATTACCCTAACTGCTCAACATGGAAGGAGTGGAAAATTCGAAGAAACAGAAAGAAGAAAGTAAAAAACACCCAAACACATCCCCACAACCCAAGAACATCAAGATAAGGGAGGACACGTCCTCCTGTGCGTCTTGCCTGCATCCTTGGCGCGGCCCGCGGATCGCGGGTTTGGCTGCGTCAGGACTCCAGGGTAGGTTACGGGAGGCTGAGGGCTCTGGAGAGGGTGGCTGCCCCCAGTCTGGGGACAGCTGCTCCGTGGAGGAGCCGCCCTGGGGTCCCACGCGCCTTCACGCAGGTGGTGCTCTGTGCTGGCTCTGGGAGAGCTCGATCCCGCCCGCCCGCCCTCCTTCACGGAGTTCCTCTGACAGTGTTTCAGGGAGGGCGTTCCCTCCTTCTGTTGTCAGTCCAGGGGATTGGCCTGTGAGTTAGCCACTCCCCCTCGCCCGGCCACGCCTCTGTCATGGTCATCCTCGCCCAGCCATGCCTCAGTCACTGTCTCAGTCCTCATCTGCTTGGTTGCGGTCATCATCACCATCATCACCGTCACCTGGCCATTGTCACAAAGAATATGTGATAGCACTTAACCGCTTTGTTCACAGGCTTTACTATAGATCTCATCTGATTTCCTCAAGAATTCCTTTTTTTCCCAAAGATTTTATTTATTTATTTGCGAGAGAGAGATCATGAGCAGGGGTGAGGGGCAGAGGGAGAAGCAGACGCCCCGCTGAGCAGGGAGCCCGACGTGGGGCTTGATCCCAGGACCCCGGGATCATGACCCCACGCCCCACTGTGAGCAGCCAAGCCCCCCGGCCCCAGCAGTTGGAGCTGCAGGAAGTGCCTTACCTTGCTTTGGGGGTTCTGCCACATGCTGACCTGGGGTGTCAGATCCGTATCCCATGCCCCTACCCTGCCCGGACGAGCAAGGATTCCTTCAGAGAAGTAATCAATGCTTCCTTTTGCGGGGGGGCCTGCGGAGGGATTGAAGCCCACCAAGCAGGTGTCCTTCCAACCAGCCCTGATTCTTGGGGCTGAGAGGAGATGCCAGGAGGGGAGGGGAGGGGTGAAGACCCCAGGCCGGGATGGAGGGGCGCCACCTTCTCCCCATGGTCGGAGCCTGTGTTCTACCCTAGTGATGCCAGGGATGTCTGCGAGAGCCGTCTTCTGTCCAGAACTCATGTTATAAAAGCCGTGGGCTCCATAGGGAAAGCGACCACTACCGCAGCTGTCAAAACATACCTTCCCTTTTGGAGTTCTTAGCATGACATTTTGTATGTCATTGCAGGCTGAAACTTACAGATTAGTTGATCTGAACTGATTGTATTGGTTTGTTTGGGCAGTTTTGACGAAATCCCACCGACGGGGCTCACACAACAGACGAGTACTGTCCCCCGGTCCTGGAGGCTGAAGCCCAGGATGCACGTGCGGGCAGGCGGGGTCCCCCTGAAGCCTCTCTCCTCATGTGTATGTGTGTGTGTGTGGACGACCGTGCTCTCCCTGGGTCCTCACAGGGTCGTCCCTGCGTGCGGGTCTGTGTCCTGATCCCCTCTTCCTAGAAGGATCCCGGTCACCCTGGATCAGGGCCACCTCAGTGGCTTCATGTTACCTTAATCATCTCTTCAAGGTCCCCATCTCCACATATAGTCACATCCTGGGGTGCTGGGGGTCAGGGCTCCAACAGAGGAATTGGGGAGGACATCGTTCAGCTCCTAACCCTGGCCAACACAGAGCTGGCCGCTTCCTGGTTGACCTGCCATCCACACACTCATTTGCACATTTCCCCGAGGCCCTTTGGGCTGACAGCAAGACCACCACTGGCCTTTGAAAACCGTGGAACCCAGGGCCATGGGGCAGCCAGTGGCTCGAGTCAAGCAAGCCACGTGTGCGCACGTTTGGGCAAGAGTGTCCCCGTGCTGCCGGGCACCGTACTTGCTGACCAAGCGAGGGCTGAAATGATGGATTGTTTTTGAACCATCGGGTGGAGATGTCTCCTGTTCACATTATAAGCACATGCTTCACATAGGAGAAATGCCTAGGCGTGGTGTGGATTAAGTAATTTGGTTGGTGGCACAGAATCATGCAGAAGCATTTGCTGCTCACTTGCAATGCAGTGAACTCCGCATTGTTTCCACGTGCCTTGCACGACCTGGGGTGCCTCTCAGCTTGCTGCCCCCTTAGGGTAGTAGGTGTGTCACAGCAGGTGCCCAGCAGGTGGCAGTAAAGCGCTGGAAGGAAGGCGCGCCCTTTTCCCTAATTTCCACCAAATTGTGTGGTTGGCTAGTGATGGGGCGGGTATTTGGCATAGCAGGGATGAACCGCAGGTCTCTTGGGGAAACTTCTCCAAACACGCACGCCCAGGAGATTTGCAGGGAGTAGGTGTGGAGTGGAGCCCCCCACACGTGCATTTCCCAAAAAGCACCTCATCCAGATGGTTAAGATACAGGAGTGTAAGGGGTACTGTATGTCAGGTTTCAGCTCTCTGGCTCTGGCAGCCCTTCTTAGCTGTCTCTCGAAGGCCAGGAGCCGCAACGCCCATTTCAAGGGGGAAATGGTTAGCATAGCCTATTTTGGGGCTGGACAGATTTCTTACTTTGGTGAGCTTTGAGGTCTTTGTGTCAAACAAGGACTAGGTTCTCTTTCTAAATTGTAAAGGACTTTATCAGTTTCAAACTCACAGAAGAGTTGCTAGAATGCTAGAGAACCCCACATACCTTCACTCACAGACTGTGTTCGAGTTTTGTCCATCGTCACAATAACGTCCCTCATACTGAAAGGATCCCATCCGGGACCCCGCATGGAAGCCTTCCATCGGGGACCCCTGCGAAGATTATGGGGCACTCAGCTTGGAGATTGCCTCGCAACTTGGGTTGGGTCGGTGTTTCTTCTCGATGAGGTCCGGGGTGTGCATTTTGGTAGGAATATTGTAGGAGTGATTGTGTAGGGATATCGCATTCCTGGCATCCTGTCGGGGGGCACGTGGTGACCCTTGCCCGTTACCGGTGACATTCACTCTGACCTCCTGGCCAGCTGGAGTCTGCCAGGCTTCTCTCTTTCCTTCTGTAATTAGGATTTTGTGGGGTCTCTGAGGCAGTTAAGTCCCTTTCCTCATCCCCCATCCACGGATGGTCTTAGCATCCATTGGTATTTCTCGCCTGCATTAATGATCACTGTCATGGCCACTAAATGGGGGTTTTCTACTCCCATCCTCTGGGGAGAGCCAATGAGCCCAGGCTCCTTTGATTTAAGGAACAGTGCTGTCAACTCAAACTGGTATAACGGGAAATAAAAGTCCTGGCCAGGCTCTCTATGTCCCGAGGAGTCCAGGCATGGCTGGAGCTCGGACGGCCCAGTGACGGGCTGTATGTGCGTCTGCCCTTGGCTCCACGTCTGTCCGCCCTCCCTCCCTTTCTCACCCCCGTGGCCCTGCTCCTTTGCTGGGGGCCCCAGCAGCTCTGGGGTTCTGCGGGTTGCGGAGGCCCCTGGGCTGTGCCCACGGCAGCAGTGGGCGGGGCAGCCCCCCGACCTCTGAGAGTGGGGCTGGGGTCCCCACAAGAATTGCAGGCACTGTTGCCACGGGAGGGGAGGGTGGGCAGCAACCGTGTCCGGGTAACCACCTGCTTCGTGAACTAGTGCGCCTGCTCCACGGGGGGGCGTGGCGTTAGAAGTGCTTGTTTCTTGGGTTCTCTGTGTAAGCTCGTCCCAGTAACAGTTCGAGCATCTTTCCCACCGTCTTTCCTTGGCGAGGTGCCACAGTCCACCCCAGGTATCCGGAATGCGCGGTAGAGAGAGCTGCCCGGCCTGCCCCTCGGTGGCCTGTTTTCCTACTGCCGTGGACTTCAGTGGCCACCCTCGACCTGAGAAGTGTGTGTCAGGACCCGCTTCCTGGCCTTCCCGGCTCCCATCCACATTGTCACCGCTCACGGGGACCCTGGCCCTCCCACCTCCAGTGCTGTCCATCGCTGGCCACACGCTGGCCTTTCCCGACGTGCCGGGAAGTGGGTGGATGGGGTGGGGCCTGGTTGGAACTGACTGGCCGCCCAGGGTCGTGGGCTGCCCTGGTACCACGCAGCGTGCCCAGGACCCCGGCTGAGCTGTCACAGCGCGGGGCCTCCTGGCTCCCCGAGAGCTGCCATGGGCAGGGGCTGGCCTGGTGCCGAGCAACACGTGGGCCCTTTGGGGTCCCTTATCCTACGTGATTCTCATAAGAACATTCTCATAAGAATGTAGGGTTTATGTCTACAGGTGAAGACATAGGCTCATGGGGGAACATTCTGGAAAATGGAAGGTCCATGACTTGGGTGCAGATCTCTTTGACCCCAGAGCCTTGTTGGTTCAGGAATAGCACACATCACTGCCTTGAAGGACCCCGGGAGGGAGAAATCTCACTGTGGGGCTGCCTGCCCCCTGCCTCCTGAACGCTCCTCAGGGGGTGGGTTACATTTCGTAGCAACAGTGGGGCCTGCCCCTCGCCTGGAGGCCAGGCTTGGCTCCCTTCCCTGGAAACAGCAGGGGCTGTATGTTCCCCTTCTTGCTGTTTTCACGCCCCCTCTCGGGGCCAGGGACTTTGGATAAGTGGGGCCAGAGATGGAGTGTCCTGGTTTGCATTTTGTGGGGTTGGCCACTGAGGCCAGCAGGGAGATAGCGTGTGTGTCCCTGGGCTTCGGGTCCCCAGGTCCAAAGGAAAGGAGCATTGGGGCCCTTCGCAGACCTGCTGTCCAGGAGCCCAGCATAAGTCCTTAGTCCTGTGATGAGCTCCCCCACCCTGATCCCAGCCAGGGGTCTGATGACCCCCCTGAGGCTCAGGACGCTGTGGGTGGCCCTGCATTTGGGGTCCTGGTCCCACATGGGGGGTGGGCTGGGGTCGGCCGAGCACATGTCGAACTTGGAGACTGGTGTGTGGGTTTCCCATTGACAGCGCGGACTCTCATTGCAGGCCTGCAAATACGGCCACGTGCAGCATCTGGAGCACCTGCTCTTCTACGGGGCCGACATGGCGGCCCAGAACGCCTCGGGGAACACGGCCCTGCATATCTGCGCCCTCTACAACCAGGTCAGTGCGGGCATGCTGGTGGGTGCGCTCCCCCAACACCCTGTCCGGCCCTGTGGATGCCGGGGCTGGGGCCGGGCTGAGCGCCCTGCAGGGTGCTGTCTGCCTCAACAGAGCCCCACAGATGGTCCTGGAGGCTGGAGGTCCACGATCAGGGTGCGGGCACGTTCCCTTCCCAGTGAGAGCTCTTTGCTGGCTGCAGACGGCGCCTCTGTGTCCTCACACGGTGGGGAGTGAGCAAGAGCACTCTGTGGTCTCTTCTGACAAGGGCGCTGTCCCGTCAGCTCAGGACCTCACTGGACCCTCAACCCCTCCTCAAGGTCCATTTCCAAAATCGCTCGCCTTGGGGGTACGGGCTTCAGGGAGGAAGCTGGGGGGAATCCTCCAGCCCTTAGCAGCTGCTGCTTTGAGAATGGGTTACCCCGTCATAGCAAAGAGGAAGCCGAGTTGCGGGGAAGAGCAAGGAGCGGTCCCAGAGCTGGAGCTGGGCTGGAAACCCTGGTCTGCTCCCCTCCCAGGCCTCACTGCCACACTGTCCACTTCCAGAAGCGAGCTGGGGAGCCGGGATCCTCTCGTTTCCATCCTCCCCAGCTGAAGGTGCAAACTCTGCCCACTCCGGGGTGGCCGTCTGCTGGGACGTGTGGGGCAGAGGGGCAGGGACGTGGCTGACCGGGCTCCCGAGGTCGGTCTGGCACCCCACCAAACTTGCACTAGACCAGCATGTAACAAAGGTGAATTACCACCACTGTGTGTGCAAACACGCTCCCAATGGGCTTTTTCTCTTTAGCTGTGGTAACATGTACATGATAAAATCACTTAGATTTTAACCACTTTTACAATGTAGTTCAGTGGCATTAAGCACATTCATATCACTGTGCAACCAGCAGCGCTATCCTTCTAGGACTTTCCATCTTCCCAACGGAAACTGTGTCCCGAGAAGCACCCCGTCCCCCTCGCAGCCCCTGGCGCCCACCGTCTACCTTCTGTCTCCACGAATCTGACTCCTCTGGGGACTGCATCTGAGTGGGTTCCTGCAGCATTTGTCCTTATATGCCTGGTTTATTTCACTGAGCGTAATGTCCTCAAGGTCCATCCATGCGTCGCATGTGTCGAATGTCCTTTCTTATGGCTCAATAATATTTCATTATGCGGATGGACCACATTTTGTTTATCCATTCATCCCTTGATGGACACATGGGTGCTTTCGCCTCTTGGCTGTTGTGAATAATACTGCCATGAACGTGGGTGTACGAGTATCTCTTCAAGACCCTGCTTTCCTCTTCGGGAGGGGGACTGTACCTACAAGTGGAACCCCAGCATGAATAAAAAGAAGCACGTACTCTTCGGTGTTAGACCAGAAACTAAGGGAAGCTGGAGATGAGCTAGTTTGGTATATCCTGAGGGGTAGGACATGATCCCTGGCCTCTAGGAGCATGAATCCCAAATGGCGAGGGAGCAGCACCCTGGACCGTGTGAGCACCCTGCTGGTCCCGCCGAGAGGCACAGTGGTGGGGCTGAAGACGATGGAGAGGCTCGTGGAGGCCGTGGGAAGGGCCTGGGGCTCCCAGGAGGCCGTGGGTTGCAGGACCTGCTTGGGGCAGGGCGGAGGGGTGGGGAAGGAGGGTCAGTGTCCTTGAGGCTCAAGGTCAAGATAACTCCTGGATGCCAGTATCGAAGGTGTTCTCTGCTCCAACTTTCTTTTTTTCACGTCTCTCTGATTTCAAGGAACTTTGAGTCTGGAGGATGGTGGGGTCTGGACACTATACTAAACAGCTGAGCAGAATGTGGGGGTCTCCACCAACTGGAGGAACAGAGGGGAGATCTTTCGGGGGCCTCTGAGCTGTGTGCACTTTGCTTGTCTTCTCTGCCATCGGCATCATCTTGCCAGAATGAAGCCATCTTTTTGGGTGAAATCTTCAGCCTTTGTCTACACCTAAGTCCTTTCCCTGGCCCTTCCAAGACCAGACCCCTCCAACCACTTTACTTCCAGCTATGAAACCCTCCTAGATTCTTTGTCGTAGAAAACTCCTATGCATCCTTCAAGACCCAACTCAGATATCCCACCCTTAGTCAAGCCTTCTCTTAATGAGCCCCTGAGAGCATTAGCTGTAGTTTGCTCTGCAGCCCTTTGCAAGATAACCAGGATGAACTGCCATTATTATGCCTTGCCTGTTTTCCCTGCTAGCACCCTGTCCCCCTTGGACCCAGCTTCTCAGAGGTATAGATTGCCATCTTTTAGGGTCTCTTCCGTGGCTGGCACGGCAGAGCAGCTCAGCCAGAGGGGGTTGGGGGCGTGTTTCAGCAGAGCTTCCTCCTTAATGCGAGCAAATCGGTGGGATTTGCATGCAGCGCGGGCAGTCGGTGCTGCACGGTGTTTTTGGACGTCGGGGTGGCTTTGTGAGCATGGAGGTACCTAGCTGGGCCGCGTTCAGAAAACGCACATCGTGAGACTTGGCTTTGGCGGATAAAACATCTGTGCCTACATGTGCTTCTCAATTGTTGCCTTAGAGGGGAAAAGCGTTCCTCAATTTTCCCCAGTAGATTTCAAGCATAATTTATCATGAATGAGAAAAGAAAAACAGGAAGAAATGTTTTCTGTCGCTTGAAATAATTGAGGACAAGACAGTCTTTGAGAGTGGTGGTGGTATTTTGTTAGGGAAGGTTCAAGCAGTCTGGTAGTCCTCATTCTGACTTGTTGACGGGGCCTGGTGTGACTGGCATGGTGCTGCCTGTCCCCCATCTGTACCCAGCCCTTGCCGATGGCTTCAGGAAGACCCTCCCCCATGTGCCTGAGGAGTATTTTTTTCTCTTAGGTATTTTCTTTTAGGAGCAAACATTTCCTGTAAAGGGCCACTTAGTAGATACTTTTGGCTTTGTGGGCCACGTGGGCTTGGTCACGGCCATCCCATTCTGCCGCTGCGGCATGAACTCAGCCACGGACAACACTGAGGTGAGTGAGTGTGGCTGTGTGCCGATCAAACTTTATTTGTAAAACAGGCAGCAAGCTGAGTTAGGCTGGGTGGCATACTTTGCCCAGCCTGAGTGGGGAAGACTGCATCTGCACCCTCCCCAGACACACGTGTAGACAGACTCCCCGCTCCAAGGCTGAGCGACTTGCTCCCAGTGCGCCAGTGAGCCCGGGTAGGCGTGTGAGAGCTGTCCCCTCTCTCCAGGGTCCCAAGATCAGCCTGCTGCTGCTCTAGGCTGTGTGTCCCTCCTCTGCAGCATGGTCAAAACCCCAGCAAGGTCATGGTCTAGACCACAGGGAGCCCTGTCCTCTCCACGTCCAGCATGCACGCACATTGTCCCTAACCAGAGCCCTGTCCTCCCATGTCACCAATGTGTTGCGCTTCTCTGTTCTACACATGTGGGCATCACGTGGCGGCATCAGGCCAGACTCAGTGCCGACTAGAGGAACCGCTTTGCAACTTTCAGCAGAAAAGGTGTCGGAGGGCGCACATACAGAGCACTCCAGGAAATCATGTTGAGAAGTAGACTGCTCCAGGGGTGGGGACACAGTGTGGGAAAGTCAGAATAGGATTCAGGGAAAAGAACTGGAAGCAGCCACAATGAGGTGGAGTTGCAGTGCAAGGAGGCGTGGCAGTCTGGACTCCACGTGGCCTAGACCATGACCTTGCTGTGTTGTCTGGGGCAAACTCCTGTCTCTCTTGGGCAATGAATTCTCCCATCTGTAAAGTAAGGATAATTCTACCTAACTGCCAGAGTTGCTAAGAGACTTAAAATAGAAAACAAACATATGGTATGTCTGCCACACAGTGGATGCTTGGTGAATGGTAGCTGTAATGGTGGTGATGGTGATGATGGTGGTGATGGTGATGATGGTGGTGATGATGACGAGTACGGTGATGATGATGGTGCTGATGTTGGTGATGATGGTGATGGTGATGATGGTGCTGATGTTGGTGATGATGGTGATGGTGATGATGATGGTGGTGATGGTGATGATGACGAGTATGGTGATGGTGGTGGTGATGATGACGAGTACGGTGATGATGGTGATGATGATGATGGTGGTGATGGTGATGATGGTGGTGATGATGATGATGGTGGTGATGGTGATGATGATGATGGTGGTAATGATGATGGTGGTGATGATGGTGATGATGGTGCTGATGTTGGTGATGATGGTGATGGTGATGATGTTGCTGATGGTGATGATGGTGATGGTGATGATGGTGATGGTGATGATGCTGGTGATGGTGCTGCTGCTGCTGCTGATGGTGCTGATGGTGCTGATGGTGCTGATGGTGATGATGATGATGGTGATGATGATGGTGGTGATGGTGATGATGGTGGTGGTGATGATGATGGTGGTGATGGTGATGATGATGATGGTGGTGATGGTGATGATGGTG